AGCCCCTAGTAGAATCTTGCTACGTTCGTAGCTTCTTGTTACTAGTAGCGATGGCCTCCAACCTGCTTGCAATGGCCTCCACCTGAAAGCTTCTAGCTACTAGTTTGGAGGCGATGGACCTGGGGTTGGGATGTGGAACGGCGTTGAGCCCACCTGGTCCTGAACCTAGTGTGAACGTAGTGTGAAAGCATGTGAAACCCTTTTAAAGCGCGAAGCCAAGCTCTGACCGCCTGGAACCTTGGAACGGTGTGACTCTGGAGCCAGGCCCTGACCGCAAGTAATTCTACATTCTGGAACCAATGCATTCCGTTCGGGATGCAGGAGTCCTAGCAACCGCGTAAGTGCGCTTCATGGATATTCATACTAGTATGATGAAACATAAGCGGCTTTAAGCATGCTATATGTCTGGAGTCTGTGCCGGTGTCAGTTTTTTGTACATCAATTACTGTAAAGCCTGCGCGCCCATGACACCTTGCAAATAGTTGTCCACACAAAATAGACCCAAGGACGAGCAAGGCATAGCGAGATATATTAATTTCCATTGTGTTGCTTTCATGAAGCCTTCTGGGACAGGTTGCAGTGAGGTGAGTCGATCTGGCCGCACGCGGTTGATCTTCGCCACAACGGCCATTGCAATGATCCAATGTCTACAAGATTGCTCCTCCTTCACACATTTGATCATTGATGAGGTGCATATCAGATGCTTGGACCGCAGCCAAGCGGCTGACATGTGGGAGTCGTTCGAAACGTTCGCGGAAAGAAAACTGCAGTCTGCGAATGGCCGCGAAAGGACCACGAAAGGCCAACAGTAGGAGCCTCAAGAATTTGTGTTCTAATGCCTGCAATTCACAACATGCAGGTGAGAACAGGCAAGCTAAGCCACAAGAACAGGTCGAAGTATGACAGAGCAAGCTGAGGAGATGCACACATCGATTTTCTGCTCAGCTTAGTGGTCACGCGGGTGCTTTTGCGCAACAAGAAGGTCAAAATCATCTTGATGTCGGCCGCTATGGACAGTGTGAAGATTGCCCGATACTTCTCCCACGCTCTTGGAGGCACTATTCCAAAACCCTTGGACTTAGAGGCTTGCCGACAGTACAAGCTTTCAATCAAATATCTCGAGGACGTCCCCTTTTTCAATCAGAAAGGAATCCACAGGCGTGGGCTAGATGGCGCTTGGGATGTCCTTGGGCTTCCAGCAGATTGGTCACAGGAAGACGTTGCTGATTTGTATGCAGAGTTCATTCGCTCTTGCCATCAAGAGCGGGCTGCGCGAAGGGACTTTGCTTCTTTCCTGGTGTTTTTGCCGGGCAAGAGAGAGCTGCAGCTCTTGTGGGAGAGGTTGGATGACGTGACAGATCTCCAGGTGAAATGCATTTTCGGTGGGCAAACCATTGAAGAGCAGGAGAGAGTCCTGTCAGAATCGCATCAACGTGAAAGGAGCGTAATTCTGGGGACCGATGTCATCGAATCCAGCGTCACCATTCCGGACGTTGATTTGGTGATTGACACCTGCGAGCAAAAGCGCCTCCGCTGGGATGGAGGGAAGAACCAAAGTTTGCTTACGTTGGTTTTGGTGAGCAAAGATGAGGCCAAGCAACGCTCAGGAAGAACTGGGCGAGTGCGAGACGGTGAAGTCATCCGCCTTGTCAGCAAAGGGTGCTTTGATAGGTTGCAGCCTCATGCCGAACCCCAAATCAAGCACAGCAGGTGGGACATGGTTATCTTATGTTTTCTTCATTAATGAAAGGGTTGCTTCACAGAAGAGTGAGAGTGTTTAGTTGAACACACGCCCTGGAAATCCATGGAATAAACATAGAACCTGAAAAAACGTTTATTTTTGAGGGCAATCGTCTTCCAAAGGTCCAGTTTCAGGTTCCATGTTAATCTTCCCCAGTGTAATACGCATGAAATTTACAAGCAGCTTAAAGCCTGGGGACCTGGGTTCGGATTGAGTTTTGCTTGACATGGAGGCTAGAAGACCTGCTTCTGTCCCTGTTTGAGTTGCCCAACCTGGGTGATCCACGTCAGTTTCTGGAGAAGATGCCGGATGCGCCGGACAAAGCTCGTGTGGACCAAGCCATCATCAGGCTGTTGGAGCTAAATGCTCTGGCCAAGCAGGGTAACGCCCAACCAAAACCCACATTCTTTGGACGGTTCTTACAGAAAATGCCTTTGGATCCTGACGTCGGCTTTCTTGTGATGAGCGGGGTTAGGCTGCAAATTGTTCAGGACAGTTTTCTTGAGTTTCCACGTGTGTGATGCGTTGGTGTTTGCAACATTTTGTAAACATGCAAAGTATGCGATGGGCCTCAGCGTGGCCAGGAATGTGCTATTTTGGCCGCAGTTCACCAACGAGGGGACCCCTTCCTGGACAGCATGAATCTGAGCCCCGAGGAAGTGAACGGTCTGTGGGAGGTGCGTGATGCCTGCAGCCCTGGGCGCGCAAAAGGTCGAGATCGTCCACTGCCTGGCGACTTGATGGCAGGACTGGGAGCTTACAAAGCCTGGCAAGCTCAAGTGAAGAACCAGACAAGAGGAGGTTGGACCTGGGACATCAAGGATGAAGCTGTTTGGTGCGCTCAGCATTTCCTGAGCTTGGAGAGATTGCACGAGCTTGAAGAAATGGTGGTGCAGATCCGTGATGTTTTGGAAGAACTGGGCTATGCTTCGAGCCTTCCCCAAGCCGACAAAGACAGAATGAGGCAGAGGAGACAAGACAAAGTTGGCACTTCTTTGGCTGCCAGGATTCGCCCAATGCTTCATGCAGCCCAGGACTTTTGGCGCCTGTTGCGTGATCAAAGGGATCGGGATGCCCAGCTGCTTCTGGCTTGGTGCATTGCAGCCAGCTTCACAAGTGGCCTCATTGAGGTGAAGAACGGTTCCAGCACAGAGCAGTTGAAGTACAAGGCCAAGAATAATCGGTCGCATCAGGTTTCAGAGGTTTTGAGACGGCAAGGATTCCACGTGGTAGATGGTCGCGTTTTGCAAAAGGGTGATGTACAGGTGAGCTTCCAAAGCCCTCAGGAAGCTCACAAAGCTTTTCAGATTGGGCAGCTGGTGAACAACAACATGATGCCGTGGAGGGCAGCAGACCCATGGGGGCGGCCACAGCAGCGCACATCAGTGCATCCCCGAAAATGCTATGAAGGATCCCCCATCAAGATCCTTCCATCGTCGCTTGCGTGGCTGCCCACAACGGAAGATGCAGTGCTTGTCGCCGGTGATGTCCTCCCAATCATGAACCACAAGCGCACGTCGATGACGACTCTCGTCAATATTTTTGGAACATTTTGGAGCGCTTTTGCAGAATATGATTGAAACCAGTTTCCTTAGCTTTTGGCAGCTGAGGTATTTCTGTACCAAGTGCAGTTCCGTGCCTGCTGGGATCATCCCATTCATTTTGTGCGCCACATACCCTGCAGCAACTGTTGCAAAGCAGGCCCCACGCGTATATAGGAGACCTGCCGTTGTCAACCCATAATAAGCACAGGTCGTGAGCGTTGAACTCTCACAGGCTCGACCGCGCCAGGCTGGGATTTGGACTGTCAGCACCCTGATCCATGGGCAGTGCGAAGATGAGCGCTACACTGCGCCGTCGCCAAAGGCCAGGCCATTCCTAATGACTTTCGCTTGGATAGATTGAGAGAAAAACTGAATGCGAAAGGTCGCGGACCTGCTGGACAACATCAGAAATAGAATGGACACAGAGTTTGGCCTCAATCAGAAAGAGCGCCACCGGATTGTCGAGGACCTTTTGAGAATGTATGAGATGTTACGCATATATAGATAGATTTGCAGATTGGTTCCATTTGCATCCATTTGGACATTCTGGGGTCCCGGCGCTTCAGGAGAGGCGGGCCAATGTTCTGGCCCTCATGAAGCTACTGGATCAGTCGAAAGCTCAACTTTCACCGCCAGTTGCATATTGCACGCGTGATTTGCCCAGTTGGTATGCGCTGAATGATTCTCAGGCAAGATGTAAAGCCTCCTATGCAGTCATTGGATCAAAAGCACGGGGCTACCTTGCCTCGGATGCGAGGCAGACCGGCGTTGAGTTTTCAGTCAAGTCCCTTACCGACAACGCTTTTCAGGTCACGTACTTTTCATGTGCGCCGCGATAATATTTTTTCAGAAAATTCATGTCTCGGGACAGCCACTTCTCTGCGAATTGAACCGATTGAACTACTGA